ACCCATGAGCTCCAAGTCAAGTAGTTGTTTCAATCTACAATAGTTGTGGAGGGTGCAACCCAGTGGCCCATATGGGGATCAACCGGCAACCCTGGCGTTATAAGCACTGCGCTCCAACCAGCTGAGCCAACCAGCCACCCCAGGAGGTTCTTTCTTAATCTCCAGGTGCCCCAGCAGTTCCAGCTCTCTAATATATCAGGCCGGTTTTTCTTTCCTCCCTTTTCACGTGGACTTCTTTCTGTTGTACCTCCAGCTCCCGCTCCCCACAGTGACCCCACTGGCGCTGATTTGCAGTCTTTAACCAGCCTGCAAGCTGCGCCCCCGAAGGGCAGGCAGCCAGGCAGGACTTGGGAGGCCGCTCCACTCCAAGAAGTGGTGCTGGCGTGCTCTCTGGTGGAAGACAGCGGAACTGCAGGCATTCGGTTCCGGCTCCGCCCCTCCGGGCCAAGGTCTTCCAGGTCACCTGGGAGCCTCTGTCCAATGGGACGGACCTGACCGTAAACGGAAGCAGTGGCCCCCGGGACTAAGGTGGGGATCTTGGAGGGAGAGAGGGTGAGGAGGATCCAGTATTGGGGAAGCCAGAAAGGGTGTGCAGAAAGGGGGCGTGGGACTCTTGGAGTGAGGCGTGATAGCTAGGGAGCTGATCCCACGAAGGGCCAGGACTCTTGAGTAGGGCAGGGTCCTCAGAGCGTGCAGTGTCTGCGCCCTCCTGCTGACTGCCAGGCCTGGGGCTTGGGGAGAGAGTGGGTACCTCCGTTAGCACACCGCCCATCGAGTGTGCCTGGGGTGCAGTACGTCCAGAACCTGAGGGGAAGTGTCTTTCCTGAGTGTCTGTTTGCACATGTTGGGAGAGGAGTTCCCTGTGACTGAGTTCTGGCCAGGATTGTGGGGAGGTGGCATTGAGAGGAACACACTCAACCCCACTTCTCCCCAGATGGCATTGTGGAGCCCTGACACCCCATGTTCCTGCGACTGCTTTGTCTCCGTGCCCCCGGCCTCCGCCATCCCAGCTGTGATTTTTGCCAAGAACTCAGACCGACCCAGGGATGAGGTTCAGGAGGTGGTGTTTGTACCAGCAGGCACTCACACCCCTGGGAGCCGACTCCAGGTGGGTTAGGCCTTATGGGGTGCCGGGAGGTGGCAGATATAGGCATCCTTCTAAGACCTTTCTCCTCTCCTCCCCACACCTGGGAAGCTGCCAGATGTGGTGGAAAGAGCATGAGCTTCAAGTCTACCAGCCTGGACCTAGCCTGTTATTTAATCTTTGTCGACCTCAGTTTCCTCATCTGTAAAATGGGAATGATAAGACCTTCCTTAAAGGGCTGTGTAAGGTGCCTGGCACAGTGCCAGCACTTTGTTGTTAACCTCCTCCTTTCTAAGTGGACTCTCCCTTTCTCCTCCCCTACTTGCAGTGCACCTACATTGAGGTGGAACAGGTGTCAAAGACCCATGCTATGATCCTGAGCCGCCCTTCTTGGCTGTGGGGGGCTGAGATGGGTGCCAATGAGCATGGTGTCTGCATTGGGAATGAGGCCGTGTGGACCAAGGAGCCAGTTGGGGAGGGGGAAGCCCTGCTGGGCATGGATCTACTCAGGTATGGCCCCTGCCCTCCCTCAT